AGCGGGAGGGCGCGCCCGGGACTCCCGAGGGCGCAGCGGGGGGGCGGGTGTGAGGCGCGCTCACCCTCATCTCCGAAGGGCTCCCCACAACTGACGCAGCAGAAATGCTCTGGGTGCCAGTGGGTGCCCAGGGCAGTAACCATCTTCTGTAGGAAATGAAAGTGGACACTCGTTATGACCTTGCGTCCTCCCTCTCCCACCCTGAAGCCGGCGAGCGAAGGCCAGGGAAACCTAAGGAGGAACTTGGGAACCAGAGAGCGGTGGAGGCCGAAGGACATGGCAGAGGCCCAGGGGCAGGGCTGGGGGGGCAGTCGGAGGAGGAAGCTCGGCTCCCAGGCCCCGGGGACGCCCCTCGGCGTGGCCAGGCAGGGCTCACATGTCGGATGGGCTGACTGCAGAGGCCGCACCGCGGCGAGAAGCGCTCAAAGTAGCACTCGGGGCAGAAGGGGGCTCCCTCCTTCTCGAAGAAGCTGCTGCCTCCCAGGGCGGTGGAACAGCCGCTGCAAACGAAGTGCTCCGGGTGCCAAGCATGTCCCAGCGCAGTCACCACCTGCGAGTCGGGGTGAGGCCAGGTCAGAGTGGCCCTCGGGCTACCATGCCCCCAGTGAGCTAAGGTTTACACTGCACTTTTCAAGTCACTCAGTCTGTAAGTGATATTCACTCAGCGAGGTCTTCCAGCACAGAGTGCCTAAGGCCCGGGGAACTTTTTAGTCTTTTAAAATCAGAAAAAAAATGAGCTAGAAGAAAATGATTTCACATGTAATATTAATATATTCATCTGTATGCTAACACAGTCATAAAATATAATTTTTAATATTTTTTAATGGAGGAAGGGACCTATGAAGGCAAAGGCACTTAAGGCCCATGAAAGTCATAATGCCACCTGATTTGCTCAGATTGGAAATTCTGGGGTGGAAGCAGGGCACTTCATTTACCAGAAGGATCTACATCAACCACTTGGCACAGTTATTGTCAATAATATCTGCTCAGTCAATAAGCTAAGAACCAGAGCTCCCTAACCAGACTGTGGTGGGGGAAAAACAGTCTTGTGCTGGGTGGAGCCGAGTGGGCTTTTGTGAAGATTAAATGAGATGAAGATTTGTGAAGGAGCTGGTAGCACAGTGCCTTACTCATAGGAGGACCACAACAAATGGTAACTGGATTGGAATTCTCACCCTCCCACTTACTTGCTGTGTGATTCAGAGCTTCAGTTTCCTCATTCATAAAATATGAATAACAATAGCCCGGCGGTGGCTCAGTGGTTGAGCACTGGCCTAAGACCCAGGAGATCGAGGTTCGATCCCCAGCACGGGGCATGCAGGACGCAGCCCATCAATGGCTCTCATCACTGATGTTTCTCTCTCTCCCTCTCCCTTCCTCTCTCTGAAATCAACAGACATATTTTAAAAAACCATAACAATAATACCAACTTTCTAGAGTTATTTATTAATTAAAGGGAACAGCACAAAGGCTGGCTCTCAGTGAAGATGGGTCTATAGGTCTCTATTTCGCTACTCACAGAGCTTCACTTACTTGCCCAGCAATGGGTTTACTGCAGGAGCCACAGAGGCCCTTGGCCTGGGTGGGGATGCCACGGCGGCCGAGGTCGGACTGCAGCAGCCCCAGCATGGTGTCGAGGCTGCCCTTGCTAGTTGGCCCTGGTGGGGCTGGGGAGCCCTCATTCACTGAGCTTGGCACCGGTGGCTGGGTTGGCCCAGAAGCTGGAAGCTATAACAGGGAGGACATGAGTTGAATCAGCAAGGACAGATGTGGAAAGGTCTAAAATGGGTTAGGGAGCCACAAAACCACATTGCTCCCCCCGCCTGACTCACATGGGTCTGGACTCGGAAGTCAGAGAGTGAGGCCATCAGTCTATCCAGCTCCAGGGTGGCCGAGGTGGCTGAAGGTTTTGGGAGAACAGGGGATGGGCTGGGAGGGCTATGAAGAACAACTCGTGTAAGCTCAGAGCCTCCCAGAGTAACGTTCCCTCCACTAACTCAAGCATCCAAGACCAATCACCTCTCTCTCACCCCTGCCAACTGTGCCAAACTCACGGGCTGGGCCTTTTCTTGTCCTCAGATTGGTCCTCCTTCTGCTCCTCTGCAGTCTCCTTGCTAGATGGGAACTGAGACATTATTTCATCTGCAGAGAGGAGAGAAGGGCACTAGACATAGGGCCATACTCTACCCGCCCTCCCACTTAAGGCTTTGTGTCCTTTTACTGCTATTCTGGGACATCTATGCCCCTTAATCTCTGCCCTTCCCTCCCCTTCCCCCATCCAGTCAAGGCCCTTTTCAGAAACCGTGGTACCTGTGATGTTGAACTGAGTAGCATTAAGTTCCTGAAGCAACCGGTCTAGCTCACAGAGCCCTGTGCCCAGGACACCACTGGAAGAGGAGAAGGGGGGAGCCGCAGGGGCCGCAGGCTTTGGGGACTGAGGCTTGCATACGGTACTGGGAAACAGGGTGGGAGCTTGGGTTCAGGGTGGGGAATCCGAGACTCTTCGCCTGAGTCTCAATTGGCTTCCCCATCCCTCAGTTTCCAGGCCTCTTACCTGTATAGGTGGTCCTTGTCCCCAGAGGCTCCTGAAGACTCCCCAGACCCCACCTACAGAGAGATGGACACGTGTGTGGGGTGTCAGAGCTGTACTTTGCCTCACTCGGGCCCAGATTCCCCTGGCCTTGGCCAGACTGGCCCTAGTGGTTGCCCCAGTCCACAGCATCTGATCTCACCTGTGGCTGGTGGCCATAGGGCAGGGGAGACGTGAGGGGCTCTGGGGGTCGCTCTTTTGGAGCCCCTGCCCTTGGCATGTGTGAGGTGGTAGTCTCCAGGTCAGAGAGCAGGGCATCTGCAGGGAGAGGCCCATCAGGGTGAGAGGTTGAGAGGTCAGTTAGGGGGAGACAGGGCCCTAAGATAGATATCAGAGAATAAGGGTTCCACCTGGGCAGTGCTTGAGGACAGAAGCCAGTATTAAGAGCAGAGGTCAAGAATCAGAAACACGAGGCCAGACCGAGGCAGAGAAGTGGAAGGGCAGTAAGGAATACGTATGACCAGAACATCCCAAATGGTCATCCTGGGAGTCATACACAAACCCAGCCGCCTGATTTTTTTTATTGTCAAAATCTTTCCTAATGCAGTCAAAATTAGACCTTTACTGGAGCCAAAATTGGCTCCACCCCAAATTGCTCAATTGGCTACATGCCTGGCACCCAGCTTTCAGACTGGCTACTCTCCTGCCGCGCCCCCTGGTTCCCCCTGGACCCGCGCAGGCCCACCTCCGGGGGGCCCGGGTCCCACACCACGCACCTCATTGGGGAGTCTTTGGGACCTGCTTTCTGATTGGCCCATTCTCCACAGAGCCAGTGCCCGTTGCCCCTGCTGGGCAGCACCCCCTAGTGGCGGGTGCTGGAACCCCTTCTGTCGCCCGGCGCGAGGGCTCGGGCTCGCGGCCGGTTCCGGCAGACGCGGTACGGCGCGCGCCCCCGCCCCCTCCCCC